AACATAGAGATTTCTTTCATTCTAGTGCAAAAAAGTAACAGTCAGCAGAAATACATGTAACCCTAGTATAAACTTGGAACATTTTTCTAACTCAGAGAGGTCCAGATTTTGCTATTAATCATAAATATGATGACGTGTAAGAGTATTTCTATGCAGATACAGTTTTTGATTTTTTATTTCACTGGATAGTGAATTCCACACTTGTGGACCACTACAAGAAAAACTTGATTTGTATAATTCTGTATTTGATTTAGGAACAATAAAATTATCTGATGATGAAAGCAGGATGAAAGTCGAGTATTGTATGATTGTTTACTATTTGTAGGTACAAAAAGATTTTATATATTTTGGTGCCAGGTCACATTAATAATGACGTGTGGTAAAGTATTCTCTTAGTAACGGGAATAATTTCAGATTCCATAAATAGTTCAATAGATGGTTTACGAATATCGTGTTCGTTTAAAATAATTCTAGCAGCCCTTTTTCGCAATTTTAGTAAACTGTCAATCAAAAACTTGTTACAGTTTCCCCATACTGGATCATCCTGAACAACAGTAATCCAAATGTGAAAGAATATAAGCATTGTGAAATAAAATTCGCCCATTATGATTCAAGTATTTCTTGATTCTTTTTAATAACGCTAATGGAGATTTAACTTTTTTGATAACACAAAACTGATTGAGTTGCGTCAACAAAAATACCAAGGACCTTTTCACAGTGACTTTCATTGGATATACTTAAAATGTGTCGTGCACATGACAGACATTTTTTTTTGTTTTGAACCTATACACATTGTCTTTGTTTTTTGACAATTTCACTAACATTTGTTTTCAACACATGACAAATATTTTCTGATACAACATTGAGTGCCACGTGTTGATTGCCTGACTTAAAGTGTGTACCCAGTGTTTCTCAAATAAAAATGGAACAAACTTCTGCAATCATTATCAAAATACAAATTATATCTTTAAAAAGCTTAAAACATTGAACTTTCAAAATTGATGCGAATGAAAAAGAATGTTTAATTTTGTCTACTGACATCAAGTTACTGACAGCTAATCAAAATTTAAGATTTCAGTCTTTGCTGTAAATTGGATAGTGGTCCAATATTTAACGCATGTGCACTGCGGTAGCTGATAACAAAACAGTTGCGTATGGCACGATGGCGTAAGTAACTCTACTGTCAAACGGTGAGCCAAAATCAAAGGCGTAGTAATTTGCCATCATTTTGTAAATATTATACACAGTAAGCTTAAATATTCTTGTAATATAAGTTAGTAGGCAAGTCTTGCGCCATCAATATATATATATACAAAAATGGAAAATACAATTAAAAGTTATGCAATCATTGAATCAATATCCTTTCATGTTAAATTTGTTGTCATGAATTTGACAAATTTAATTTTTATGCAAATAGAAATTCAGCTTTTTTCACATGAACGCTGAACCGTCACTTTATGCACGTCGAAGCTATAGGTGAAACCGAGGTCAGTACATCAAATAATTACTGAAGTGTGAAGGAAAGGATGATATAGTACTGTATTGTGTGTGTAACAGGTTTCATTCCATTGTAAGTACTTCTTGTTTCTCCATATCAATAAAACCACACCATCTGGTGTCATCCAATAGGAAATACATTCTTTGTAATCAATGCGATAAATGTAACATTTCCTATGGAGGCTTAATTAATTGATATAACCAACCAAAGAAAGAATACAGTTTGGTGCGTCGTTTTTTAGTATTCTGAACTACTCGTACACATTAGAAGTAAGTTTTATTTGTTTTTATATTAGTATTGGTATATTACAATGAAGTTAGTACAATTGATGTAGTTATTTTAAACTACAATAAACAGTGATTACTTGCATAGCTTAGGGCCATGTCAGTACAACATGTGATGATCGATGGGAAAGACATTATAATCTACTTAACATTTACCTGCAGGTTATTATTATTTCACCATATCCTGTATCATTTCTTCTTTTCTGAAGTCTGTCTAAAACGCGTCATGTCCATGACAACAAATCGATGTTTAAATATAGCAGTATCAATCAAATCAAATTTCATGCTTTCTCTCGGAGCAGTAATAAATAGCAATCGGGGCAGTTACTTTTAGATAAATCAAATTGTATAAGCATGTTGTACTGATAATCGTACAAAAGAGATCACAATTATTTTTAATTCCACCACACTCTATAAATATGTGACCGCCATGACATTTCCAGGCTTATGGAGCAAACTTTTTTTTTGAGGTAAAATTATCGAAATATTCTTCATTAAGTTGAGGACAACCCATGCATGATTTGCAAATTTTAGGGGGGGGGGGGGGGGGGCGCACGTCCGCCGCGTCCCCGCCTGAATCCGCACCTGGCCACGACATTTCCAGGCTCATGGGGGTACCTTGTCTAAAATTGGCTTTTTGTATATTTATCTAGAACATACTGAAACCAAACACTCTGTCATGTTATTATAATTAGTTATCAAAGGTACCAGGATTATAATTTAATACGCCAGACGCGCGTTTCGTCTACATAAGACTCATCAGTGACGCTCAGATCAAAATAGTTATGAAGCCAAACAAGTACAAAGTTGAAGAGCATTGAGGACCAAAAAGTTGTGCCAAATACGGCTAAGGTAATCTATTTCTGGGATAATAAAATCCTTAGTTTTTCGAAAAATTCAAAGTTTTGTCAACAGGAAATTTATAAAAATGACCATATAATTGATATTCATGTCAACACCGAAGTGCTAACTACTGGGCTGGTGATACCCTCGGGGACGAAACGTCCACCAGCAGTGGCATCGACCCAGTGGTGTAAATATTTATATATATTATAACCTATTTGTTTATCTATGGAGTAACTGTACATCGCACATGATATATTCACGCCAATCGTTTTATACCAACCGACTGTCCCTAGTATAGATAAATGCATTTTATTTCTTTAAATCCATTTAAGAAGCTTGTATTCTCAACGCTTATTGTAGTCAAAAGCGTTGAAAATAATATTAGATGGGAAGGGGGTATTAAGTGGTTATGACTTTATGAAAATAAGAAGATGTGGTATGATTGCCAATGAAAAAACTCTCCACAAGGTATTTGATTTTACCTATATATAGATACAAAAAAGACCGAAGTATACCTAAAATTTAGCGCATTCATTCACAAGACAAATTCGGCTTACCAATACAGTAGGATAATATTTCTTGCAGTTGTCAATTTTAAAGCAGATATTTCATATATACAAGGATCCCGCTGCAAAAATATTATTTCAGTAAAAACCCACATTCGAAGGGGACAGACTTTAATACTTAGTCTGAACTCTTTGTAAAAGGTTACGGAAATCCATAAAATCAAACCTATTGTACAACGTAAAAGGGTTTGAGTGTATACATCGTACATGTAATTCAATATACATTAAAAAGGGCCATAATCTGATTGCCTTTCTAAACAAAGAAAACAAGAAATGCATTTCAGTGCACCTGGCGCGAAATCAGTGCTAATACAAGTGATTTTTGAGATTATTATAATATAAAGATGAATATTTAATATATGTTTTATAGTAACAGACAGATGTTTGCAAGTTAGACAAACTCAATCCAAACCAATATGTAAATCGATATAAATTACCAATTTAAATAAAGTTTTAATCATGTTCATGACAAGAATCAAATATATACCGTGTTTCTTACATTTACTAAAAAGTGGTTTATTATAAACGTGTCTGTACTCTAAGTCTCTATCAAAATATATTATCTATGGCTATATGTATTTTTTTTCAAGAAACGTCTTTGTGTTACCTTGACCAATAGTGCAATGCACCTTATCGCTATTTAGCCCATTCTGGAAAAAAAACAGTCACTTAGACAACTTCAAAAGGTCATCAATAATGAGCTGATGGAGGAAAAAGTTTAGAAAGTGAACATTTTGAAATTTTGATAGTTTATGGTCCAATTTTTTGAAACAGATATAAAGCCATAAAAATTCTTTGTTTGAAGTGTTTACGATGGTTTAAAAATATCTCTTTGAAAAGTTTTATAAATAATAAATTGTTAAAACAGGGCCCCAGATAGCTTCAACTGGATTGTGACGTCATGAAAAAGTTGTGTTATTTTCGGATTGGAATAATAGCGATAAGGTATATAATTAACTCAAGTCATTTGAGTTATATGTACTTTTCAAAATTTAACTGCAGGCGCATATACTTATGCTACTTTTCTTACAAAAATCATCTGTTGAGATTAAATGTATAGTGACAGTCTACGGTAGATGGTTTAAATGTATAGTGAGTCTACGGTAGATGGGTTAAATGTATAGTGAGTCTATGGTATATGGGTTAAATGTATAGTGACAGTCTACGGTAGATGGGTTAAATGTATAGTGAGTCTACGGTAGATGGGTTAAATGCATAGTGACAGTCTACGGTAGATGGGTTAAATGTATAGTGACAGTCTACGGTAGATGGGTTAAATGTATAGTGACAGTCTACAGTAGATGGGTTAAATGTATAGTGAGTCTACGGTATATGGATTAAATGTATAGATACGGTAAATGGGTTAAAGTTTATGTCGGTTATCACGCAAAAATATATCGAACTTGATTGTGATTAATACTTCTTTTCTTATGGGAATCTACTATAACTACCTCCATTAAAGGTAGTATGTTTATTAGATCTTGAAGTATAGAGTAAACCTAATAATTTGAAAATATTTATAATAAAAACTCTTAGTCTTAGAAGGAATAATTACAATTTTACCCAGCTTTAGTGATATGTTTTAATGTTTTTTGCATACCTATCTGTCTCCAAGGGTTGTGCACTTATTTTAATCTTGCATATAATGCTTATCTTTCTTCAAAATTTAAAAACTTTTCTAGAATGTCAATCGACAAGTTCAACTATGAAACAAACTAATAAATGTATATCATTTCCATAGGGATTCCTAAGGACAAGATAATTCCAAGAGGGATTAGTGATTATATATTTTTTCTTCAGTTTTTCGATGTTGGAGTGGATAAACAGTCTGGTTGACAGGTTACAACCTAATTATTTAAGGCCTGAAGATTTGGAGTTACTACCAGAAGACGGATATGTACCAACACTGTCAGATTTAGTCATTCCTTCTTTAGTGACCGCATCATGTCTTGTTGTGGTGAGACATGTTCTTGACAGGTACTGTATTGATATGTACCAACACTGTCAGATTTAGTCATTCCTTCTTTAGTGGCCGCATCATGTCTTGTTGTGGTGAGACATGTTCTTGACAGGTACTGTATTGACATGTACCAACTCTGTCAGATTTAGTCATTCCGTCTTTAGTGGCCGCATCATGTCTTGTTGTGGTGAGACATGTTCTTGACAGGTACTGTATTGATATGTACCAACTCTGTCAGATTTAGTCATTCCGTCTTTAGTGACCACATCATGTCTTGTTGTGGTGAGACATGTTCTTGACAGGTACTGTATTGATATGTACCAACTCTGTCAGATTTAGTCATTCCGTCTTTAGTGACCACATCATGTCTTGTTGTGGTGAGACATGTTCTTGACAGGTACTATATTGATATGTACCAACACTGTCAGATTTAGTCATTCCTTCTTTAGTGGCCGCATCATGTCTTGTTGTGGTGAGACATGTTCTTGACAGGTATTGTATTGATATGTACCAACACTGTCAGATTTAGTCATTCCGTCTTTAGTGACCACATCATGTCTTGTTGTGGTGAGACATGTTCTTGACAGGTATTGTATTGATATATACCATGACTACCGTTTGTCTGAAAGTTTTCCTGTAAAATGAAATAGTTTCTTAAACTTTACCATTGAACAAGGTCATTAATTTTTGTTCAAAACGTTTATATACGAACCCTTTGGATGTGTACTGATTGATAATCTAGTCTAGGAAAACATGACTTATTTATTGGTTGAAAGTGGATTTGAACTAGCTTTCAGTAACCGAGCCGGAGTACTCTTAGATCCGTTCTTTGTTGTTTATGTCTTATCATCAAAGTTTTATATTTTGCTTCATACCAATCTGATGAATCAATTTAAATAAGAAAATATGGTATGATTGCCAATGAGACTACTATCATCCAGAGACGCACAACAAACGTTAATTTCAAGAGAAAGATAACTATTTAGAATTGTACGTACTTCAATTTTGGCCAATGGGTCTATTGCTTTTTTGTTCAACCATCAAAACGACATCTTCAAATGGTACTGGCTCCTATTAACAGAGAATAAATGTCATGTGTCTGTCCCAAGTCTGCAATTCAGTGCTGTCTGCAATTTTTGCTTTACATAAATTTGCCCCGCTGCAAAGCGGTGTTGGGGACATAAATACTGGGCGTCCGTCCATCCGTTTGTGGGGTACATCCGGTCTTGTAAGCTCTCTCCATCGTAAAATTCGTTCCAGATTTGTATGAAATATTTACAGATAAATATATCTGACGAGGTCAAGATCTTTTATGACATTTTAAGGAGTTATGGCCCATGGAAATATAAATTATATGGAAAATGCATTGTAAGCACTCTCTTATGAAATTTACATCAAAACTCCTTGTCAGCAATGTCTCAGACGAGTTAGAAAATCAGCGCTGATCAATATTTTTTACAAATCTCAGATCAAGTTCAAATTTGGGTTGCGTCACTTTGACCTTTCTTGAGTTATGTCCCTTTATAACGTTATATGCAAGCGAGGGCATCATCTGTGTCCCATGGACACATTCCCCATTTATTTCACAATTACTTTTCTTAACTTTTTAGAGTTATTTATACTAATTTGTATTTTGTAGGATAAAATATTTACAAAGATAAACACTAGTTAGTGTTCACAGAACGTTAACATTATTAACTGAAAATAAAACGTTATAAGTTTATCGACAGGTTGTAGGTATTCCTATGGGCACCAATTGTGTCCCTTTAATAGATTGATTGATTGATTGATTGATTGGTAACGCCACTTTCAACACTATTGTGCTATTTCGTGGCGGTAAGTTTTTATTGGTGGAGGAAGCCGGAGTGCCCGGAGAGAACCACCGACCTTAGGTAGGAAAACTGACAATTCTAGTCAATTAAGATTGGATTCGATTGACCTGCCCCCGTGCGGGATTCAAACTCACAACCTCAGTGTTGACTGGCTAGTGATACAGTAGTTTGACTACTTAGACCACTCGACCACCGAGGCTTCCCTTAATAGAAGATTTGTTCCTGTACTGTTCTGAATCACAGTTTATGGCCAAACTATGTAAAGACCCGTCTAAATTTGATTTAATTGATAAATTCAACAACACTTACCGTTTTCTTGATGACGTTTTTTCGTTAAATAATCAAAAATTCTCTAATAGAAAAGCTAAGGATATGGGGTATCCATCCATGACACAAAATCAGTAAATGCACAGCAAAAAACTTCCGAAATTTACCCAAAGGAACTAACTTTAAATAAATCAAATATTAATATCAATAACTGTCCTTTACTAGATCGAGATATTTCAGTTTTACACGAGAAACTCTACACAAACATTTACGACAAAAGGGACGATTTTTCTTACACTACTGTTAATTTTCATTTTTTGGACGGTGTTTATATATCTCAACTTGTTCGCTATGCCCGTGTCTGTAGTGACGTTTGGAATTTCGATGAACGTAATCTATGCATTAAAAATATGGTAAATTATTAAGTCATGGATTTTGTTACCAAACATTACTTTAAACCTTTACCAAATTCTTCCATATATATATATATAGATACAAAGATTTGGTTTTGCAAGTTTGTTTGTACCTGTAGAAAACTTATTTCAAACGGAATAGCACTTCCTTATTTCACGGTGATGTTGTTTACCGAGCCCGGAAATTTGAATACGATCCGGGTAAACTTATCAATTATTTAAATAAACTTATTATTAAAGGTTACCAATTCGAACTGTAATTAGATATTTGAATATTGTTTTTATTGGTATAAATATTGATTTTGTCATCAGTAAATTAAAACCATAATAAACATTATTGTTATACAAATATGCACATTCACGGTACTACAATCTGTCGATACCTATATTTTGGCTTTGCCCAAGGTCATGATTTTCACTGATTGATATTTTAGTCTTAATATACATGATTGGGGCATTACGTTTTACCCTTTTCCGTCTGTACGTCGCAAAATTGGTTTCCGTTCTCTAACTTAAGTTTGCCTCAACCAAATGTTATGAAACTCAAACACAATGCTAATTACCACAAAACACAGAGCAAGTTTGAATTTTGGTGGCGTCACTTTTACCGTTCTAGAGTTATGCCCCTTTACAAATGGAAAAATTGATGAATTTTCCGTTTCCATTCTCTAACTTTAGTGTGCCTCAACCAAATGTTATGAAACTTATACACAATGCTTATGACCACCAAACACAGATCTAGTTTGAATTTTGGTGGCGTCACTTTTACCGTTCTAGAGTTATGCCCCTTTACAAATTGAAAAATTGCTGAATTTTTCGTTTCCGTTCTCTAACTTTAGTTTGCCTCACCAAATGTTATGAAACTCAAACATAATGCCTATTACCACCAAACACAGATCAAGTTTGAATTTTGGTGGCGTCACTATTACCGTTCTAGAGTTATGCCCCTTTACAAATTGAAAAATTGCTGAATTTTTCGTTTCCGTTCTCTAACTTAAGTTTGCCTCAACCAAATGTCATGAAACTTATACACAATGCTTATTACCACAAAACACAGATCAAGTTTGAATTTTGGTGGTGTCACGTATACCGTTCTAGAGTTATGCCCCTTTACAACTGGAAAAATTGCTGAAATATTCGTTTCTGTTCTCTAGCTTAAGTTTGCAACAACCAAATCTTATGAAACTTATGCACAATGCTTATTACCACAAAACACAGATCAAGTTCGAATTTTGGTGGCATCACTTTTACCGTTCTAGAGTTATGCCCTTTTACAAATGGAAAAATTGCTGATTTTTTCGTTTCAGTTCTCTAACTTAAGTTTGCCTCAAATAAATGTTATGAAACTTATAAACAATGCTGAATACCACAAAAATTAGATAAAGTACAAATTTGGGTAGCGGCACTTTTACAGTTCTCGATAGATGCTTGCTGCTTTGTATCGATCTGATGAGTTAAGCTTTTTTCAACTGATTTGTATATTAATTGTTCTTATATTGTACTGTTACACCACTGGGCAGGGTTTGGCGCCAGCAAACTAGTTTAACCCCGCCACATTCTGTATGTGCCTGTCCCAAGTCAAGAGCATGTAGTTCTGAGTGATTGTCGTTGGTTCATGTCTGTCATATTTGTTTTTCGTAAATTGTTTTTTTTTTTAAGTTAGGCCGTTAGTTTTCTCAATTGAATTGTTTCATATTTTTCATATCGGGGCCTTTTATAGCCGACTATACGGTATGGTTTTTCTTCATGGTTGAAGGCCGTACGGTTGCCTATGATTGCTTACATCCACTTCATTTGAACTTTGATGGATAGTTGTCTCATCGGTAATCATACCAGATCTCCTTATTTTCATATGGTAAGTAAAATACACATCATGTTTAACCCCGCAATATTATTCATGTGCCTATCCCAAGTCAGGAGCATTTAGTTCAGTGATTGTCGTTGGTTCATGTCTGTAATATTTGTTTTTCGTAAATTGTTTTTTTTTTAGATTAGGCCGTTAGTTTTCTCAATTGAATTGTTTTATATTTTTTCATGTCTTGGCCTTTTATAGCCAACTTTACGGTATGTTTTTTATACGCACGTTTACGGGACGTTTTATGGTATACCGTTGTCCGTCTGTCCGGCCCGTCCCTCCGTCCGTCCGTCGTCAACATGTCGGACAATGACTCAAAAACGCTCTGACCAATTTTAATGAAACTTTGGTGAATTGTTTATATCTATTTACGTAAGCTCCCTTTCGATTTTTATAAATTTTAGATTTAACGTTTTCGAGTTATGGGATTTTATTTACAAAAAAGGGGGGATTTTCCAGTTTTTGGACAATAACTCAAAGGTGCTTTGAGCAGTTTTCGTGAAACTTTGGTGACTGGTTTATATCTATTAAAATAACCTCCCTTTAGTTTTTTTTATGAATTTCTGATATGACATTGAGGAGTTATGGAACTTTATTCATTGAAAAAAGCGACGGGCGTATCATGAGCTCATGGTGCAAGCCGTACGGTTGTCTATTATAATTGATTACATCCACTTCATTTGAACTTTGATGGATAGTTGTCTCATTGGCAATTATACCACATCTCCTTATTTTTATATAAATCAGTAGATGCAAACTCTTGTTCTCGGGAAGTGTCGTACTTTTAGTACGAGAAAAAGTCCAATGCTTGGTTATATTTTTTAATATAGGGTTGTTGTAGCCCCTCTTGGAACCTATTTGGGGTTCAAGACAAAGATGACAGATGGTTTAACTGAAAATCCTATTTTAGAAAAAGAATACAGCAAATGTAAGACTCCTAGTTCGGACACTATAGTTGTAAGTACATTGTATTTCAAAGTTGCAATAAAGTGAATTAAAAAGATGCATTTTATAAATTTATCACTACAACAAACCGCGAATCTTGGATAAATTTCGAAAATCATATATTGAGGTATGGGTTAAAATGACAGGATACAATAAAAATAAGATTGGAGGCACAGGAGGATTGACATAATCCAACGGTGACCTAGACTTCTACAATTTTCTAATGCAAGCAGCCAGCCCCTTCCCCCCCCCAAAAAAAAATGAAATTATAGTCCTACATCTTGTTCCGTATACTGTGTAAAATGTTAACAAAAGAGGAAATAGTAACAAGATTTTATTTAACACGTTTAGTTATCAATACATGAGATATCCTGTTTTTTTAATTTCAATATGAATAAGAAGATGTGGTATGAGTGCCAATGAGACAACTATCCATCCAAGTCACAATGTGTAAAAAGTAAAGAACTATAGGTAAAAGTACGGCCTTCTACACGGAGCCTTGGCTCACACCAAACAGCAAGCTATAAAGGGCCCCAAAAAGACTAGTGTAAAACAGTTTAAACAGGAAAACCAACGGTCTAATCTATATAAAAAACGAGAAACGAGAAACACTTATGAACCGCACCAACAAACGACAACCACTGAACAACAGGCTCCTGACTTAGGACAGGTGCATAAAAATGCAGCGGGTTTAAACGTTTTAACAGGCGCCAACCTTCACCCTAACCTGAAACTGGTATAACATTACAACATAAAAAGACACACAATAAAACATCAATTGAAATGGCATTACTCCATCAAAAAGACAATACACAAAAACAAGTAAATTTACACTGAACGGATAAATTTGATCTATGACACAATATAAATAAAAAAAGATGTTTCAATGCCAAAAAGACAACTTTAACCTAGGCCTGACAAAATGGCGTTAAACAAAGTAACGTACACAGGTGAATTCAAAATTGTTATATTTTGTAAAAAATGTTTCTGTACACTAACATCAAAATATAACAATTTTGATGTTAGTACAGAAACATTTTTTACAAAATAAATTTGTTGTTCATAGTAAGGGACGACATCAAAAGATCATAAAATTGCTGCAAGTTTTGTTTATCCAAAATCGATTTTACATATATTACATATTGGTCAATCAATTTTTCCCAAATTAAGTTAAAAGTGGGGGTTGGGGGGTCAGTGAAAAAACTATGTGAATTAAGTTTTTTATCCTACATTGAACTTTTGATGTCGTCCCTAAGAGTATAGAATTGATTTTTTTTTCAAGTTTGGGTTGGTTTTCAACAAAATATGCTAAAATTAAAAGAGTAAAGTAAAGAGTGGAAATAAAGCGATGTCATGGAAAGGAACAATCGAAATCGAAAATCAAGCACAGGAGGATTGACATAATCAAACAGTGACCTAGACTTCTACAATTTTCTAATGCAAGCAGCCCCCCCCCCCCCCCTTTTCCCCCAAAAAAAAAGAAAAAGAAAAAAAGGATCAATGAAATTATAGTGCTACAATTTGCTCCGTATACTGAATAAACTGTTTGTCAAATATTGATAAAGTCAGCTGGTTGTTAAATACAATATAGTTTTAACTTAAGCCTTCCGTAGGCATTACATTTTTAATTATATTTCGTTCTATGGATAACACAAGTGTTTGATCATTTCTACAGTAAATTTTATGTGTTACATGTTGAAGATTTTGATGAAGAAATGTGAATTAACAGAACGAGAAATTTCTAAATGGTTCCGTAAAAGACGTCGGAACGACAAAGTCACAGATATTAAGAAGTTACAAGATGCAAGGTAAATATTAGAAAACTAATTGCTTGAAAAACAGAGTTTTGATGATAAATAAATTGAAAAAAAAACGAGCCCAATTTCTACGGAAGCCGATAAGGGTCATTCAAAAAAATAATTTATGTCGTAATTACGACATAGTATGTCGTTATAACGACATATTATGTGGAAATAACGACATCGCTATGTCGTAATAACGACATATTATGTGGAAATAACGACATCGCTTGTCGTAATAACGACATATTATGTGGAAATAACGACATCCTTATGTCGTAATAACGACATAAAGATGTCGTTAAAACGACATCTATATCGTAATTACGACATCGCTATATCATCTATAACGACAACCTTAGAATTGCTACTTTGTGAGCATCGACACACTATGGGAAACAACATTTGCATCTTTATTTTAAGAACCACTTATCAGAATTAAATCAAACTTGATATACGTGTGCACTATAAGGTCCTATTCAAGTATTGCTTCTTTGTTACCCATTGGTTAAAACACATGACCGCCAAGGGACTTTGAAAAAATCAATGTTCAAAATCTTCTTCTCAAGATCGCTGAAATGAATGAGTTTAAACTTAGTATAAATATACAATGTGTACCTAGTATCCAGGTCCTTAAAAAGAGTTTTTACGTTTTGAGCTGATCCGAAGTTAAAAATGGCCACCAGTGAGGGCAAAGTTTGTATCAAAACCCTATCGTAAACATATTCATTTTTGAGAATGATAACCACTGAATTTAATCAAGCTTAATTAATATTGAAGTTAGTTACTCCATATGTCTGCACATAATAGAACTTTATTACATGATGAAGTCTAATGGGACCCATTGAAATTGTGAACGATTCAGGCTCCTTGGAGCCTCTATTTATATTTGGCATGTATGCAGATCACATCAAGAAGATGTGTTTAGTACCAGAAGGACTATGTGTGCTATTGCAATCGCTTGTCGTCCGTCGTCGTCTGTAGTTACCGTTAAACTTTTATTAAAGATTACAAAAATCACAAAATGTTGATAAAAGTTTAGCCGCCGTCGCCGAAAAATCAATTCCTTTGTTTTGTTATTTTTGACGTTCATCGCAGGCGAGGCAAAAATCTGTTATTTCGCTATGTGGTCTATTTGTATAGTATTGTGGAAATAATTGCATAAAGTTCGAGATTACATGTGAGTTACGTAAGCGCGTAACTGTTTTTTATACCCTGTGGTGTTTGTCGTTGATGAAATATGTTCGTTGTTGTTCTGCAGTTTACATGTTTTGCGACTATTACTACACTGTAGTAAATTATTTGTTTGTGCGTTTCTCTGTGATGAATGTTCTTTGCGTGTGTTTGATCTGTATTTCTGTCACGTAGTGTTATGATTTCAGCGACATTTTTAACATTGTCATAAAGCGGGAGGTTTGACTAGCCATTAAACCAAGTTCAACCCACCATTTGTTCTTAAAATGTCCTGTACCAATTCAGGAATATGACAGTTGTTATCAAATAGTTCGTTCTATGTATGTTAAGGGTTTATTTTTGTTAACTTTAGTGTTCTTGTTGTTCGTTTATTTTCCTCTTACAGTTGATATGTTTCCCTCGGTTTTAGTTTGTAACCCGGATTTGTTTTCTCTTAATCGATTTATGACCTTTGAACACCGGTATACTACTGTTGCCTTTATTTAGTAAGTGTCCATGCTGTTGGTTGCCGGTCAAAATCGACAGACTTCAAGTGATGACAATACATGTAGCTATCCCAAAAAATGTTTTAGAGGACACAACTCAGGTATGGGTCAAACTGATCTTTCTGAAATTTTCGGCATAGGTCCATTTTGTCATGATGAACCCTCAACAGATTTGAGATAAATATAACGATATTCGAGACATCAAAAAACTAATGTGTGACCATTATGTCCTATTTTTTCAAGTTAATAACAGCGGCTGTGTTTTTAAGGAGTCGAAAATCAAAGCACGCCTTTTGTGAAGGAAACATTTAACAAGGAAAAATCAAACCAACTTTTAAAGAATGTTGCACATTAGTTTCAAAGGAGATTTTTAAAACACGCTTACGACAGACGACGACGGACAACAAACGATGACAATCGCTCGCATACCACTTCGAGTACGAGACACAACTTCCTTAGGTGATAGGTGAAGGTCAGGGGATCCATTAGGCTCGATTATTAGGGGGTCCAAAGTTTAACATAGGCCCCAATGGAAAAAGCTTTGAAAATCTTCTCCTTAAGAACTACCAGGCCGTATTGGATCAATCTTAGAGAATGGATGATCCTTATATAATGAGGATTAAATATAAAAAAGGAAGATGTGGTATGATTGCCACAAGAAACCAAATGACACAGAAATTAACAACTATAGGTCACCGTACAGCCTTCAACAATGAGCAAAGCCCATACCACATAGTCAGCTATAAAAGGCTCCGAAATAACAAATGTAAAACAGTTCAAACGAGAAAACTAACGGCCTAATTTATGTACAAAAAATAAACGAAAAACAAATATGTAACACATCAACAAGCAACAACCACTGAATTACAGGCTCCTGACTTGGGACAGGCACACACATACAGAATGTGGCGGGGTTAAACATGTTAACGGGATCCTAACCCTCCCCCTAAGTTTGTAGGAATAGTTGTCCCGGGGAACATTGGTTTAAAGAACTTTGGGTCCAAAGTTTAATACAGGCTTCAATGGGGAGGACGCTGTAAGAATCTCATTGAGAACTAACAGTAGCAATGCAGTTATAATTTGCATCAAGCATCAGTAGGCCATCAAGATGCAATTGTGTACAAATGAAGGTACATAGGTCCATGTGTCTGAGCACTAGGAGTCCAAAGTTTAACATAGTCTTTATTTGGAAATGCTTAAAATTCATCTTCTTCAGAATCTGCAATGGAAATGCAGTTATATTTTACACGAATCTGTACATGCCAAACATAACTAGAGGCTCCAAGGAGCCTGAATCGCACCTCTGTTCAACTGGGTCTCATTTGACTTGATTATAAAATAAAGTTCTAGTATGTGCTAGTAAATAACTTTAATTAAGCTTGATTGCATTTAGTGTTCATTATTCTCCAAAAAAAGATGAATTTGTTTACGCTACAAACTTTGCCCTCACTGACGACCATTTTGAATTTTCTATCGCCTCAAAAAGAGACAATGCTAAGGTTGTCGTAATTATGACATAACGATCAGGAGCCTGTAATTCAGTGGTTGTCGTTTGTTGCTGTGTTACATATTTGTTTTTTGTTCATTTTTTGTACATTAGTTTTATGGCCGTTAGTTTTCTCGTTTGAATTAAATTGTTTAACATTCGTCATTTCGGGGCCTTTTATAGCTGACTATGCGGGGGCTTTGCTCATTATTGAAGGCATTATGATGACCTATAGTTGTGAATTTCTGTGTCATTTAGTCTCTTGGCAATCATAATACATACTCTTTGTTTATATATATAGCGATGTCGTTATAACGACATAAGGATGTCGTTATTACGACATAGCGATGTCGTTATTACGACATAGTGATGTCGTTATTACGACATGCTATGTCGAAATTACGACATAGTTGTGTCGTTATTACGACATGCTATGTCGTAATTACGACATAAATTATTTTTTTCGAATGACCCTTATCGGCTTCCGTAAATTTCAGACTACAAGTTACACTTAAGCCGTATTGAACCCCAGAGTACTTAAAATGAATTTCAAAGAAAATTGCATCCATAAATTGTATTATACTTACGTATAAATTTTAGATGAGAAAGCAGCCCAACATCACAAATATCCCTAAGACCTTTTTTGTAATGGACAAGGAATTGGATATATCACAATAAAAAAATGATCTACAGCATATAAACAAAATTAGGTAAATACAATCTGAATATTGCAAGTTATTTATTTATTAAGTCCAAAAAAATTAAAGCATGTTAACAATCTTGTTCAGTTGCAGAAATGATATACATGTCTTACCAAACCTTGTATTGTTTCTTATAAGTAATATTGAATTTCCTAATATTTTTTCACCATGATTGTAGCATTACGTCAAATTTATTCTAATGCAAACTTTTCTATAATTTTTATCTTTTATAGTTGGCACTTCATGTTTTATTTGATAATGTCCTGGTATGGTGTGTTTATTTTATGGGATGTAAGTAATTATGGTTATTCTTTTATACTAATGGACACGTAAAAATTGACATTCGTCTTGACTACAAACTGTGTGGAATAACGTTCTTTTTCTGAAATTTTTAAACCTATGATCCCATGATCTAAAGGATGAGACCAGTCAGGAAAACACGTGGACAATGACCAATACATTATTTGTGTTTCAAATTATGAAACTCGCACCTTAATTTGAATTTATTTCACAGGGGAAATTTAACGAAAAGAACCTGTTTCCATCAAATATATAACACTATATATGTATAATATATAAAGGCGGGAAAATTCACAGGGAATCTACAGGGAGAATTCAGAGACTCAATGTAGAATGCAAAAAAGTCAAGAAGGAGTAATACGAATAATAATCTATTTTGCATCAATTTTATTTAAGATTTTCTTCTGCTGTTATATACAGAAATAAATGGTTTGTTGAGGAAATTTGTTATTGCATTACAAAAGAAAATTTCAGAGGAGTTGCATAATATTAAAAATAGCAGGGAAAATTATCAGCACAGAGTTCTTGAAATCTTTTTTTCCCAGGTGGTCCTTGAAGAAAATCTGCTGGTCCTAACTATTATTGTCCCCCGCGCAACGCGTTGCGGGGAACATAGAAATACCGGGCGTCCGTCCGGTCTTGGTAGCGCTCTCACATGTACAATTCTTGGCAAATTTCTATAAAACTTATATCATAGGTTTATATCCGCAATGTCTCGGATGAGTTCGAAAATCAGTGCCGATCAATTATTTTAAAAAGAATTATGCCCCTTGGAAACATTAATTATATGGAAAATTGCATCGTTAGCGCTCTCATGTGTATATTTCTTGCCAGAATTTTATGAAACTTATATCATAGGTTTATATCAGCAATGTCTTTGACACTTTCGAAAATAAGTGCTGATTCAATATTTTTAACGAGTTATGCCCCTTGGAAATATTGATTATATCGGAAATCACATTGAATTTGCTCTGAAGATATTTATGAACAGTTTTAAAGAATAAAAAAGAGTGTATTTTTTAGTTGCCCTTGTACCTTGGATAGATAAAGTATATGTAACGCGGGGGACATTGGAACTTTGTTTTTATATTTCTATTGCAAAATACCAAAATTGTGTTGGTCCTTGAAAAAATGTTTGTGGTCAAAACCTTCGTACCACCACTTTTCGAGAACTCTGTTAGCAGCAAACATTCTTAAGGAGTTATAAACATTTCTATTTCACTGACAATCCGTTTCCACTTACACAGCAGCAGACATTCTTAAGGAGAGGTAAACATCACTGACATTCCCTTTACACTTGCACATATGTCTAATATCAGCACCGCCGCCATGCTGCGAATTTTCTTATACGTGTCTTCTCATTTCAAATAAATATAGGGTAAAAGAGCAGACCTTTTGTTTTGTTTTTGTTAACCATAGTGCAGTAAACGGTAAAAGAACTTAATTCTACCGGTTTTTTTAAATCTTAAATGCAGAAGCATGAAGAATAACCTAATTGTTTTCTGTGCTAGCATACAAACAGGACGAAAAACTGTGAAGAAAAGTTACAAACAAAATTTCAAATGGAACTCGAGATAAATTATTGCGTCTCAAAATGTACACAGGTTCACTAGCTCATAGTAATCTTAAAAGAAAACAGAACAAACGACACTATCTAAAATTGGGAATGGGATCCTGATATATCTTGACATTTCCAAAAAAAATTTTGATGTGGGACATAGTAGAAATTTTGGAAATAGAGGACGCACAAAACATCACAAAGAATTTAGTAGATTTTTTCGTAAATAAGATAAGAAACGTTTTGTTAGACTCTGCCAAAAAACATTCGGGAGAAGAAAAGGTAAAAATGTGATTCCGATGACACAGTGATATTAGCGAAATCGATAAATGACTTACAGGAGTCTTTGAATAGATAACACAACTATTTTTGCACCTGGCGTTTAAAAGTTAACATAGAAAAAACAAAGATAATAGTCTTCAGCAAAGAACTCCTAAAAATCTGCATTTCAGATACAATAGCTCACCAATTGAAATTATTAACGACTTTAATTATGTAGAACGTCTAACTGACCTTTCTGATAAACTTGTCAATCGGATATTGTTATATTTTCTCAAATTCAAAACGCTGTTAATGCTAAACACTAATAAAAAGAGAAATTGATTCTCCCTCAAATCATTGCGTTAACGAAACACCAATTACATTTTCCACTATCTTTACACTATAATTAACATTTTGCTGTAATTATTAACCATATATTGTTACCTCACAACTGTACACTTGTATCATTTCTATTGTTGTATTTTTCTGTATACCTTTGTATCAGCATCGGATCTAACGTCACAGTACCCAAATTGCACCGAGTACCCAAATTGCACCTATTCAACAAAAATAGCTGAGGAAATCTTACAAGTTTTCTTTGAGACAAAACAATTTGTATTTTTAAGATTTGACATTATACACGTCTTTCAACATAGATGAATGTATTTAAATATACACAAAACGTTCACACTATATATCAACAGATGAAGCATTCACTGGAAAAAGTTAAACTACGGAAACGTCACCATGCGACGTTCACAAAAAGTCATCTTTTAGAAATGAGCAAATAAAATAGGTTAAAAGCATCCATTTCTTAAAAAATGAATAGTAAGCATAGACTAATGTCAAGTTGTTCTAAATATTTGAAGAAATAAAACAAAACATCTGTTATTCGATTTTTAAGGATGTGAATTTAAGCATGGCCATGGGTGCAATTTGGGTACTTCTTATTACAGAATCATGGATAGTTTGGAGGTCGTTTCAAACACATTTAACTATGATTCAATATGGATTCAAAATTAACCTGGTGGAATTATATAGTAAATAAGGATACACCTACAAAATAAACCCATAATGGAAACTTTTGTCTGGATCATAAAAAACCGTAGGTGAAAAAATTGTCAAAATATATGCAATTTGGGTACTCTCACGTTAGTCAGAATAAAGCATCTATTTGTAAATAAATGGTATACACACTTGTCTGTTGATGAAGACATGTGTGTTGACTTCTTCACATCTATTCTTGTAATATTGTGTCAGTTTGCTGTTCAATTGACGTCATTCTTACGAATAGTTGACCATATAGAAGCCACACCACATCTCTTTAATTTTTGTATTACACGTACGTTCGTGGCCGTTCGAAATTATAAATAAAGTATATACTGTGAAATATTTTATATAATTGAATGATATGATATGACCAAATCAGTTTAACGGAAGAATAAGAATCATTTTATAAGTGTTATGGCCTAGCTGTTTCTGTATTGGACCTGATATAGATTCTCCATTATTCTTCGAATCTCGGGGCCAATATATAGCTAACGTCGATTCTATACCAGTGCCAATATAACTAACGTCGATTCTATATCAGTGCCAATATAGCTAACGTCGATTCTATACCAGTGCCAATATAGCTAACGTCGATTCTATACCAGTGCCAATATAGCTAACGTCGATTCTATACCAGTGCCAATATAGCTAACGTCGATTCTATACCAGTGCCAATACAGCTTACCTCGATTCTATACAAGTGCCAATATTTTCTGATGTATGAAGTTTTAACAACATAAACATACTTTTTTGTACTTCACTTACATGTAATTCATAATGAAAATCATGTTATAATTCTTCATCCAACGACTCAGTCTCAATATTCTAATTTCACACATTTGATTTACTTGTACTGTTAAATCTTTAGTTCGATATCTACATGGTTTGTTTTAACATTGACGTTAATTTTATCAACTTGGCTGCAGGGTATTTTTTGTTATCTATTTACTGAATATTTACATTAAAAAATAAGAAAAACAACTAAGTCTGGTGTTTTATAAAAGGAAAAACGAACAACGTCTAAATACTTCTGAAAAAATCTTTTAGTTAACGTAATTACATTTGTACTATATATAATAGTTAAGAAGCTCTTATATTTTTATTTATGTTTTTTTTTCATTTTTCAGAAACCATGGTTCAAAAAATCTATCAATTGTTTTGTGGATTGGCCTGCACAGGTATTTCTGATCAATATAGAAAATCTCAAGTACATTATAAATACACGTGAAAAGATCAAAACCAATTCCGATTTAAAACATTACACGCATGACACCCTGAGCTAGATATTACACCAGACTTCAATTTATGACTAGCGGATTCGACCGAAAGGCACTTGTCACTATTTTTTTTCTTTTACCCAAATATCTATTTGTTTCAGAGACAGGTGCCTGTGGTTCGCCTGGACGTTTATGGTTATCTTAATTCGATTATTTTTTTTTTGAAATGGCATAGTATTGTAAAAAATGGTGTAAACGGGAGATATCTGACAAAAAGTCACTTGATTTCTATTTGAATATAAAATGTCTCAATATTGTTGATATTCGCATATCACATTTCGAAAATAATTCGGAAATAAATGAAAGAATAACACGAGTTTTTTTTTCGGAAATCAAGTCAGTTACTATCTATTATATTGGTCACAGCATTAAATGCAGTCGTAACAGCATTATATATGCAGTGGTCACAACATTATATGCACTCGTGACAACATTATATGCAGTGGTTACAACATTATATTCAGTGGTCACAACATTATATGCAGTCGTGAGTCGTGACAGCATTATATGTAGTCGTGACAACATTATATGCAGTGGTCACAACATTATATGCAGTGGTCACAACATTATATGCAGTTTTGATAACATTATATGCAGTCGTCGGAACATTATATGCAGTGGTCACAACATTATATGCAGTGGCCACAACATTATATTCAGTGGTTACAACATTATATTCAGTGGTCACAACATTATATGCAGTGGTTACAACATTATATTCAGTGGTCACAACATTATATGCAGTCGTGAGTCGTGACAGCATTATATGTAGTCGTGACAACATTATATGCAGTGGTCACAACATTATATGCAGTGGGCACAACATTATATGCAGTTTTGATAACATTATATGCAGTTGTCGGAACATTATATGCAGTGGTCACAACATTATATGCAGTGGTCACAACATTATATGCAGTTTTGATAACATTATATGCAGTAGTCTCACCATTAAATACAGTCGTGATAACATTATATGCAGTTGTCGGAACATTATACGTGTTTTGTTGATGAAGGTGATGATCAGTGGTAGTGATGATGATGATTGATGATAGTCATATTCGTCTTAAGAAATACACATTCATGACATAATGTAAGTAAAAATAATGAATAATAATAATGAAACATTCAGTGAATGGCATTTGTGTACTAAATGCCTCGAGTTCATGTTCATTTCGTATTGAACAACCAAAATCTATATGCCAATTTAGTTAATATTAAGTGCCATATTTCATATATATAAATGTAAGACTCAGATCGACGTCCACCAGAAACCTATAATCGAGGTCCGTTCCTCACGTCAAGGTCTAATATATTAACCCTCTATATATAATCGGCGTCCAATGTGGTTTCATGACTGTACACCAAAAATATTACTAGGAGTCTCCTCTTTTCGATGCCTAATATGATTTGATCATTTGTTCCCACTTTGATCTTTTTTTATAATTTGTCTTAAGTGATCGTTTTGTTTTCGTATAATGATGTCCAAATATACAATTTTTTTTAAATATTCTATACATATCATAATGACTTTTATTATACTTCACGTAAAAATGCAATATTTTGATTGGCTTATACGAGGGTGTTAATTTACTCTATTCTATGGTAAATACTCTATTACCCTTCACGGAGACGCTTGATCAAGTGTGCGCTTTATTCTAAAATACGACTCTATCCTATGACAAATACTCTATTACCTAGACTGGTTCCCGATCGCAATATTCAGTATGTTACACATATACCAATGTGACAGCGTGCGGGTATTAGCTAATACCTGGAACGTAGTACCGGGAACCGGGATATCTATTACCCTTCACGGAGACGCTTGATCTGAGTGTGCGCTTTATTAAATACGGATGGTTGTTATGTACAAGACGTCATAGTTTATTACTTTGAATTTGAAATTTAATAGACAGTAATAACAGAACATTCAGTATGATAAATTAAATAACACATGTCTGAGAGGGTGAGAGAGCAGATTGTTACCCCTCGAAAAGACATTGTCAACCTTGGCCTCGCCTCAGTTGACAATGTTTTCTCGGGGTAACAATCTGCTCTATCACCCTCTCAGCTATGTGTTATTTATATAATGTAAAGATACAACACAGGATAAAGCATCCCGTCGCAAAGAATGAACTAAAACAAATCAAAAAACGATCATGGATAATTGACAGCCGGTGAACCACCGACAGCAGATTCTACACTTGGACAGTAATGTTGTGCGTACCTGAAACACGTGGATCCATTCAACCTACGTACTATGTCTCATTCCTTTCATATTCTTATGAAAAAAAGAGATACGTATATGCTTCAATGAGACAGAAACCCAACGACTAAGATAACTGTACAACACTGGGGTCATACAGGCGGCAACAATAGACAGCTATATCTATACAATATATAAAACTCTGAATTGAAATAAGGAAATTAAGAAGTAGGACTCTGAATTTATTCCACGCCAAGGGCATTATTTTTAATGTCTTTTAATCTTATTTCAATGATCAGTATCATCATCCTCATAGCTTAATATGTTTATACTTTAAGTGTGTAAAAGCATATATAATTGTGCATTTCTGAACATTAACCCCAAATAAACATCTTCCGAGATTATCCGGGACTGCAATTTAGATATATCATGACCCAGTATTTTTCAAGAAGAACGAAAAATTTGTCAGAAGTAATCTATGTATTGTATTTTGGAAACAAATTAATTTATGTTGATCAACGATGTCATTCGAAATAAAATTTTACTAAAACATATAAGATTTGGAATATTGTTTTAAAAGGGCATGGAACAGCAATTTTAATGGCAAAATAACTATTTTATAAATGAAAATCTCAGTTTTTAAGTATATAATTCTGTCTATGCAATATATAGAAATCCAATAAGTTTCGATAATTTTCCAATGTTTACCCCGTGAGTGAAACATAGGAGAAAGAAGCCCCATGTCTTTAACAGAAACAATCAAGATCTACCATAAAAAGTAAATTTTCCAAATAATGAAATATATTCAGATATGAAATTTTACAACTTCTGACGAGAGTCCTAACATGCGATATGGAAAAAAGTAGTTAGCAAAAATTACTAAATCCCCTGACTATAACAACAAGACAAGCTTGTATCTGAGAAGAATAAGAACGCAAATAACAACTAGAAGAATTCACAGTAAAACAATAGTCCTCCATTAAGAGACATAATAATGAGTGGCGAGTTCCGGCTTTTGTTGTAGAGTATATATAATTAAAAGCTAGCCTAGCGCATATGTGTTGAGGTGACAAATTTTCTGTGAGGACCTTCATTAATATCAAAGAAGTGCGCAGTAACAAATATTATTCCTCTATTACTTGTAGCTGCTCATAGCTGGACCTTAACACAAAATTGAATCATTCATGCGTCAAATATAGGTCGATATGACTATTTTTTTTCAAACTCCTTTGTTATTATCAAAGATGTGCGCACTGAATAGATAGCATTCCTTTATGACTTATAGTTGCTTAGATGCAAAACTAAACCCGAATTAAATATGTGTAAAATGTAGGTCGAGGTGACCCATTTTTTCATGGACATTTGTTACTATCCAAGATGTGCGCACTAATAGTAAATCATTCCTCTTTGACTCGCAGTTTATTTCGATCTAGACCTAAACGCAAAACTTAAATGTGACAGACGGACGAACAAACGGAATAATAGCTATATCCACTCCCAAACTCCGTAAATAGATGATAAAAAGATGAATAAAAATATTAAACTGGGTCTTGAAAAGAGAAAACTTTCCTAATACAAGTTTATATTTTAATATGCATCAACTTTAACAAAAAAAATATGTTTATCTGAAGTTGTAAAATATGATCGATGCTTTCATATATGATTATACATCTATTTGGTTAAGGCTGCTGCTCGTATTTAGTAGACAAAGTGCTTTACGTGCTAAAACGCTTGCAAAAGTTGGATAATATTGATGTAAAGTTATTATTAACTCCTACAATGAAATGCTTTCAACCGCATTTTTAATGTCTGTTAGATATTTAATCATGTAAAAATGCATAATTCAGAAAATCGAAGCCAAATAACTCTATCATGAAATATATAAGCGAGATATGGTGATTAGGTCTTAATGACAGCCGACTGTTTTATTCAAAATGTTTTTACGAAATTTAAACTGAATATCGACTTTAAAGTTGAACCTAGCTATTGTTGTTCAGTAGGAAATGAACTCGAGGCATATAATATGCACACTGTCCTAAAGATATTTCATTATTATTATTCATTATTTTGACTTACATAATGCCATGCGTATTTCTTAGGACGAACAGAACTATAATTAATGCATGCAACTCTTAGTTTCATCATTTTCTCGGAATGAACTACCCCTGAACTTATAAAATTATGTCTGTCCAATTTGCAGACAATAGCACATTAGCAGGTGTTATTTTTTACGCTGTTAAAGTTTTCAATCGAATTGCCTATCAGTTATAACCGGATTCGGCAATTTCCGATAAAATTTACGAAGTTTACCGAATTTGTTCCACCACCATCACTATCATCAATCGTCATCATCACTATCACTGATCATCACCTTCATCAACAAAACGCATATAATGTTGTGACCACTGCATATAATGTTCCAACAACTGCATATAATGTTGTCACAACTGCATATAATGTTGTGACCACTGCATATAATAATGTAACCACTGCATATAATGTTATCACGACTGAATATAATGTTGTCACGACTGCATATAATGTTGTGACCACTGCATATAATGTTCCAACAACTGCATATAATGTTGTCACAACTGCATATAATGTTGTGACCACTGCATATAATGATTATCATCAACATAAGACAGTCATGGCGTTCCATTGTAAAGGCCAATTTAGGTTGGTTCCTTCCGTAAAATATTCAGTATGTCTTTGGATATGCACTTTTTAACAAACTCGCAAATAACGGCTGTGTACCAGTATAAGGCCAAACATCCCTGTGTTTCTTTCATTCAGAGGATCAAAATTAAATAGTTGATAAAACCGTAAGTGGAATTTGAAAGTTGATGCGTGTAAATTGTTTCTTTAAGATTTTGAACAATTTTAAATATATCCACAACATCGAAATATTATTGCCGTTGAAGACTAAAACATATTATTGCAACTTTAACATGTTTTTGTTATATTTTGCCTCTAATCAAATAGTTAGTACAGTAAGTGAATTAAGTTGTATTCGAAAGGTTATTATACATAGCTGTACCTAACAATTTTCCGTATTCATTATGAATATACACTATAGACATTTTGTAAATCAGTTAGAGCCATCTTCAGGCATTTATTACTTCGCTTCATACTAAAACAAATACAATATAATTTTGTAAGAACATGAAAATAAAGAATTTTTGAAAAAAAAGTGAAATCAATTGAGGAGTTTTACTGAATTTGCCTCGTAGTAAAAATGTATGGTTTCTATATAATTATGTATTTTAAATAATGTATTTTCAGACTATCTGGTCGTATATTTTCAGAGTGTGTCTAATGACGTATACTGGTACTATCTGATAGAGCTTGGGTTTTATCTCTCTGCTGTATATATGCTTTTTACAGATCATAAGCGAAAAGTAAGCGATAAAAATGTTCGATTTTACCAGAAAAGTGAACCATTGCTCACATAACGATGGTCATCCTATGTCAAATACTGACAAAACCGTATTTTAACCTCTAGATCTCTTTTGTTAAAATTGTGCGTACACAAAATAATTTTCCATGTATTCATTTAATAGAAAAAAAAAGATAACAATGCAAAGTTTAAAATATATCACAGACACCTCTATGGTCAAGAGAACTGGATTCTTTTTCAGAAATTACACATAAAAGTTCGAGGAATTAGAGATTTAAATTTAAAAGGTATTAATCTTTGGTTTCGCTTTTTCATAGTATAAAACTTCTTTACCGATCAAAAAGCTGTATACTTGATAACTGCATGGAAAGAAACTGCGCAAACAAGATGTATATTTAATATATGATATTAACGGTATCACTTAATATTTCGCTACAGCATCAAAATATGGTTTGAGCGCTACTAGAAATATGACTAAAACATTTTCCTTTTTTCCTAGGATTTTACTGAGTTAATTATTCATCACGTAGTTACAATATTTTTATTGGTATTATCATTCTCATACAACTTATTACGTGCTGGAACTTTGGTGCTATGTATACATGACCAAGTGGATTATCTCTTAGCGGTAAGAACGTTTTAACCAAAGATACAAAACTGCTTTCATTTAATATATATGTCTCATGTGCGATCGACCAATTTCTTGCTTTCGATTAATATGTATCTCATGTGCGATCAAACCCTTTGTCTGACAATAATAGTTTGTGTAAAATGTATAAACTCAGCTCCTTTTACTTTCAATGATGAATATAAATTTTTTGGACAAACATGTTCAATTTACATTATCATGTGTGTATTATTGGTTACCTCTACAAAGATGATCACGAAGGCAATACAAAACTGAACGTTGATAATATCGTTATAATTTACACATACACATCCGAAAAAAAAACTCCTACAAATGTCGTATTTATTCCCTGAAACCAATTTTAAACAATGCAAACCCATTCAAACAGAAAAATTTGAAAGAATATCGACCATTTCATTCTGACACACACACAACTTTGCACGTCAACAACAGAGATGAAAAGTCAACGTGGGCACAAAGATTTTGAATCGTGCATTCTTACGCGCATGCGCTTGTCCATTATTAACAGAAGTTATCATGCAATCTGGACTGACATTATGCCCCTGTCGTTATATTAAAAGTGACCATCTCATAATGTTTAAATCGTTGTAAAATAATCATCGTATTTTAGGAGATATAGGGCTTGAGGAAGATGCAAGGAGTCAGTTGGTAAATTAAAAACTGATGTGTCATTACTCGTATATGTATAATGATATTGTATCACTTTATTTATTAACTATGTTTAGAAAAAAAGGATCCGTTTTTACTACAAGATTATACATTAAAAAGAAAAAAATGTGATCTTTCCAGATGGCAAAAGTAGCTATCTACTGCAAGAAGCCAATGGTAGCAGATACATTGTTTGTTTTATTCATACTCGTGTGGATTATCACGAGACTTGGTATTTATCCATATGTGTGAGTATTGGAATTCTTTATAAGTGATTAAGTCAATTAATTTTATCTTGCGCTTCAATATTATATTTTTTATATAAAAAGACTTTATCGGATTTATAAACGAATAATTACATTACATAGACGTTTTATAAAATCAAAATCTCATCAATAATACCAGGCGTATGCCAGACGCGCGTTTCGTCTACAAAAGACTAGCCTTGGATTCTGGCTCACTGCTCGACGGTAGACGAAGTATAAGATTCGGTCAGGATGCCAGGCTAACAAAAGACTCGTCAGTGACACTCGAATAAAAAAGTTAAAAGGCCAAAATAAAGTACGAAGTTATAGAACATTGAGGACTCAAAATTTGAAGGTTTTGTCAAATACAGCTAAGGAAATCTATTCCTGGGGAAGAAAATCCTTAGTATTTCGAACAATGCAAAGTTTTGATTGGCATAGGTGTTCCAAAGGTAATATTTCATTTTCTAATTAAATGCAACATCAATCAGTGGCGGATCCAGAACTTTTCCTAAGGGGGGCCCGCTCCAGTCATGCTTCAATGATTCCCTATATAATCAACCAAATTTTTCCCACGAAAGGGGGGCCAGGCCCCCCCCCCCCTGGATCCGCCTATGTCAATGACTCTTCGTAACAAGGTTAAAACAAAGCACTGGAAAAAAACTAACCAAGGCTTGAATTAACTCGTAATTTCATAGTTTCATTTAATTATAAGTATTGAATGGTTCTTTTGTAATTTTATAGGGATGTAAAAGCCTTGAGTGTGCACACTTTTTAACGTCCGTTTACGGGACGTATTATGGTGGTTTATTCACGGTTCTACAATATTTAAAAAATCCAACTCACGTTTTTTTTTTCAACAATACTTAGTGTCAAACAATAGAAGGGCTTGGTGTTTGTTAGTTTGTAAATTTTGAATATACTAATCCTAAACAGATGCGGATCCAGAATTTTGGTAAAGTGGCGGGCGCCCAAAGTAAGCAACATTTGGAGTGGGACATGTAAAAAGGTTATGCATTAACCATATATGTAGCTCCGCCCTAAATCCGCCTCTGCTAAAAACTATTTCCAATATATGATTGCCAAGTTATTATGTTGTATTTATATTTTTCATTCTAGTTAATATGATAACTAAATTTTTATTTGGAGAAATTTTAAAACCCCATGTAGAGCACCATTTACATATATTATCTAGCTATATATTCTTTTATTTTTTTCTGTAAAAACTTAATGCATGGGCCTTATTTCCATACATCAACGTCATCTGTAAATTGTGACATTTAACAAAATAAATCATTGACCATAGTATTAAATAAATTGGACTAATACAACTCATTTGAAGGGTACCATTCCTATTTTGCTTAACTCTACACAATACACGCAATGGTCTATGAAGGTATGTACCAACTCGTCTTTAGTCTACTACCAATTAAAAGTGTTCAGACATATGACCACTTATTCAACTTGCTTGGATTTTATTCATAAAAAAGGAGTGATTTTACAGTTTTCTGACTATAACTCAAAAATGCTTTGAACAATTTTCATTAAACTTTAGTGAATTGTTTTATATACATTGGCATAAGTTCCTTTTTGATTTAAAAAAAATGATTTTACGTGTTGTAGTATTGGGACTTTATTCAGAAAGAAGTGGAATTTTTCCAGTTTTCGGACAATAGCTCAAAAACGCTTTGAGCAGTTTTCATGAAATTTTGTTGACTTGTTTATATCTATCAAAATAAGCTCCTATTAGTTTTTTTTTTTATAAATTTCTGATATTACATTGCGGAGTTATGGAACTGTCCTCGTTGAAAAATCGTCGAAAACTGTCAATTGTTCTCACTTTGGACAGTTATAGCATTTTATTCTTTCCAAAATCGAGGCCACACATTATTTAAACTTGAGATAGCCTATATAGTTCCAAATTGTTTATGTTTTGTGTCAATGGGTACCACTGTGGGTGCAAGTCTTTATTTTTTGTTTGGGGGGGGGGGGGGATTCTATTTGAGCAGAGCTCACAGTATTTCTAGTTGATCATATATATTCATTGAAAGCATAAAGACGAGATAAAAGACAACGGGCGTATCATGCGCTCATGGTGCAGCTCATTGTTTTTATTATGAAGCACGGACGCTTATTTTAAAATGTGCTTCGGTCAACCTCTTTACATTCCAATAAAATAGAAAAAAAAAACATTCTATTCTTAAATATAGTTTTGCAACCTTCATTTTCTTCTGTGAGCACTTTCGTTACTATAATATAGCATGCTAGCTTTTATTGTAGGCGACATATCCGCATTAAATTTTAAACAGATTTTCGGTACCTTTTTATTTCCATGATGGGGCCCATAATTACTCAATTAATGTTATGAAACTATTGGTAATAAAAAGAAAATAATAATAATAATAAAAGTTGCATAGTACAATAAATATATAAGGGTTTAACCCAGTAAATCTTGATGGATTATAATTATTTTTATTTTATTTTAAACAATATTTATTCTTAAATAATCATCAAATTAAAATAGGAATGAAGTTTATTCTCAAAAAACTACATATCATAGTTACAGAGAAAATATATACTTACAATTACATATATCTATATATAAACATGCATATGTGTGAACAAACTTAATCAAATAAAAATATAGTAATTGGAATAAATAACAAGGATTCAGAAACCTTTTATAAATTTGTCTCTTAGTGCTCTTATTGGTCAACATGTAAATATTGTAATGAAAAATGATCTGCAACAAATATATGAATATGAAAAATATGCAAAATGTAATAGATAATAATGAATAAATGTGAAATCGTTGTGTATTCCTTTTTTATTCGTAAGTTAACAGGATCAAGCCCTTAATATTTAGAGTTACTAAAAATGATGTTCATTTTCAATTTTACGATGTTAAAGGACAGAAAGATATCAAAAAGCAAATGTAAAGGGAAAGAAGTTTAAATACAGTTTGTAACGAAGCATGGGTGCGTACGTTTCACTCTTTAGAATTCATTATAGTATACCAGCTTGGGGTAATGTACCAATGAGATAAGGCCAACTTTCTATACTTTATTTCATACGGTGGCCATTTTCATGTAGTCTAGAAACTTTACTAAATTTTAAAAAAGTCATAGAATACTTTGTTTGTTATTGCGTATATAATTATTTGTATATTTATGAAATAGAAATGTGTTTCTTTCAGCACTTCTTTGGTGTTGGGTATTCTCATTATCTACTTTGTAGAATTTTTGTATAATGGTTATTATAAGGTAAGCATATGGACGATATTTCAGGCGTTTCTTAAGAAAATTCAAAACCTTTCTATCCTCGGTTTTGGGTGAGCCTTTTTTGTTTTATGTTTTCAGGATATTATACACAATATTTATAGATCTTCCTGTGTATGCAAGAGAACTTGGACCATATGTAGAAATGTATGATTCGTGTACTATAATGAAATTTGTCAAAGGTGCTTTACTGGTACTACAAATACTTCATCTCATATGGACATGGTTAATTATTAAAAGTGCTGCAGCTAAATTCACTGCTGGAGCGGTAAATAAACTTGTTATATTACTTTGTAAAATTAAATTCACTGCTGGACAGGTAAATAAACTTTTTATATTACTTTGTAAAATAAAATTCACTGCTGGACAGGTAAAGAAACTTTTTATATTACTTTGAAAAATTAAATTCACTGCTGGACAGGTAAATAAACTTGTTATATTTCTTTGTAAAATTAAAAAAGATGTAGGTATGATAAGACCCTCCTATAATTACAAAAATAGCAAACTTATCAATTGATAATTCAACAGGGTAATATAATCTGGACACTTTGGTGCTAAAACGTCATTTATGATGTCCTTATGGCGTCATAAACATGTCGAAATGAAATATTTGATCAAAAATGGCCATTTACTCATAGCTTTTGGGTAAAACAGATATGAGCAACAGCTTTAAAGGGGCATCAAATTCATGATCACCGATTTGACCCAAACTCTCATATTTGATTTATAACATACTAAAACCAAAGTGTGTCATTCTGATCGTGAAAGATCTGGCATCGGATCGTGAATGCAATTTGGTGTAATTCTACTTCAAAATCTGTGAAAAAATCTGCTGTTTTTTTCAAAAGGTGGAACAAATCAGAAAAGAGAAATATGTCTGTCAATTTGATTCAATTTCCTTAATGATATTGTGCACTGCGTTAAAGAAAAAATGCAGTACTCTTTAAGAAAACACAAAAGGCGACACACAATCCTATGAAAATCATTAAGAAAAAATCCCGAATTATTACTTGAAAAATGTCATAACATTGAAAAAGCATATTTTTGTTGATTTTTAATCCAAATTGATCGTGAAAGATCAGGCAACGCATTATTTTGATCGTGAAAGATCAGGCAACGCATTATTTTGATCGTGAAAGACAAGGCGTGACCAGACAAAGATCAGAAAATTACATTTCTTTTACCAATTGATATATCTATAATTGGTTGAAGCGTGTAATTACTTAGTAAGAACGTAATCTAATGCTTTTATTTTTTTGGGTGACATATATTATACATTATACATAAAGACCCATATGTATACCTGTTTTCATTTAAGATGCAATGCTAACTAGGCATCCAAGATAATAAGGCCTCCAGGAACGTAAATTGTCAAAAAGTAAATATCTATGTATTTATAATGCTAAATGCATTCACGAATGAGTGAAGCGAGAGGGGGTCTGGTGGTCTTCCAATGGCAATATCTTAATGTTTATGTTTTTGTTTTCGTAAGGGTTTAACTTAGATCAAAGAAGCTATATCACTTGATTAACTTTACATAAAGGAATATTGAAGATGTTCTTTAATCAAAAAGATATTTTACATACATAAATATCTTTTTGCTAAAGCTATTGCTCATATCTAATTATAAGTGACAAGACCTCAAAATGAGCAGTTTTGCACAAAATTCAAGAAGTTTGAAGCCTTTAGGTAAATATGTAAGGCAAAATTAAGAACAATAAATACTGATATCTGTCAGACTTATGTCTTGTAAACAACCGGAGGATAATATTCGCTAGATTTATCATACTTTTTGATTTTTGAATTCCAGAGGCCAAAAAAGTGGCATCACCATACCTTCTCCTTTATGTTTATTCATTGTGAAATAATGATACAGACCTACCCGAATATTTTTATTGGATTCTCGAACTGAAAAAAAACTTGCCACCGTTGCCTCATCTTTCATTGGCCTGACAAATGAAAAATATTTGTTAATGACATTTACCTGGAAAATAAAAATGTTGAAAAAAACAATCACATACACGCAGGTGTTCACTAATTCCTTTTATCAAATATTTGGAGTAAAACTTGGTTTATCTACCATTTAAACAATTTAGTATCATTATTATTTCATGGATATCACTATTCAAATAACATTGTGGTCTTTTTGTCTTTTAAAGAATGTTCTGTTGACGGTCATCTTTGGTAGTCTTTCTTAAATTTATTCACAACTTATCTAGGCGGGGGCAATAGTAGATTGTTGCAGACTGTATCTTTACCACGACTTAAATGTCTTTTCTTGCATTATTATTATGTTATTTGCATATTGGTTCATTTGCTATAAAAGATGTAAAAACCAACATTTTCTGTGATCCATAGCTGTTATATTTTTACTCCTTTAGATTCAAGATGCAAGAAGTGATAACGAAGAAAGTGAAATCGAAGTTGATGACAAAATAGAGGAAAATGGTAACTGTAAAACTTTGGACACGGAAGGTTTATGTCAGTGAAAAGTACGGATATGATACTGTGTTTTATTTCTCAGGAATCCATCAAACTAACATTGTAAGTCACACAGTCATCCATCATATATTTTATATGATCAGATTAGAAATAAAACTTTGTTCCAAAGTGGTAATGAGGGCTTGATTTGAATTTGTCTTTTCGCAGTAGACCAGTATATTACTGATACATATGTAGACATTAATGGTCATAGTTTTTAATATTTTTTTTATATAAATCTTTGCATTTATTGTAATTATTTTATTCAAAATCATGTAGTTATTAGTTGACACAGTTTTTATCATTTTTTACATAAACGTTTGCATTTTCGTAAGTTATTCTATTTTAAGGACATATGGACGTCTTGTATATCACCATTCTGATCTCTTACACCTCAGTTGTCTGAACTTTTTTGTTTTTGATTTTGTAAAGGAACTTGGTATCTCAATATCTAAACAGATGTTAACATGAACTGATTGGTTTAGTATGTTTTCTTTAGTAGCATTCAAGCACCTAGGAATTTTGACAGATTGTGCTCTTAACAAAAAGTAAAATAACAAAAATACCGAACTCCAAGGAAAATTCAAATCGGAAAGTCCTTTATAAAATGGCAAAATCAAAAGCTCAAACACATCAAACAAATAGAAAACAACTTATTCTTAATTGTGTAAAAATAGTTTAATATATAATAGTGCTAGAAGAATTCAACAGCAAAAAAAAATCAAGGTAAAAAATAAGTCAAAACTGAGTTTGTGAATTTCTGTCCTATTTCCTTGTCGTTTGTGGGCGGAACCGGCTTTTACCGACATGACGGTAAATATTTTCATTTTTTCATTTTTATTTACCACATTTTGTACATTCTGAGAAAAAAAAAACTTTATTTATAAAAGACTATTGAGAAATCTGTTCGAACCGTGTTGTTATTTTACTCTTTAAATTTACAGTGCACTTGCAAATAACAACCATACGTTTATGTGTTTTCTGTTATATAGATACAATGGATAAGCGTGGATTCTTGAAAAAGAAACCATGAGCCCGGAGGGCGAATGGTTTGTTTTTCATGAATCTACGCTTATCCATTGTATCTATAACTTAAACTATTGTGTTAATTTCTTTTCAAAATTAAAGCCTTTTCTTAATTAGAAGGTATTGTAAGTGAGTTTAAATAACCATGTTATCGTGTCCAACGATGCATTGATAAATCTCAGATCACAATTAATTGGTTAACAAAATACAAATATAACACTTCTACCTTTAAAGAATTTTATATTACCAGGCATATGAATATTATCTGTTTATACAAAATAAGACATATTCGAAATTATTTCTAATAAAATTGAAAATGGAAATGGGGAACGTGCCAAAGAGACAACAACCCGACCAAAAAGCATATATAAAGTATATATAATAAGTATGTTATCGAAATTTTTCTAGCACTCTAGGCACATCACGATTTTCTCGCGCATAGGAATTTGCGAACAAACCTTTGTAAAATTATGTAGTAAAACAAATGAAATCATACTATATTTATAAAACAAAAAATGACAAATAGAATGTAAACATTTTTGTTTCAAACATGTGAAATAGCCAATAATAATTAAAAAAAACCGGTAAAACTCGCTATTAATACAAAAATATCCACTATAACTTGCAAAATTAGAAAAAAAACTAGGATAACTTAAGAATTGGTACAACAAAGAGAATACAGGGATTCGAACCTAAACCGACAAATCCCGATCTTTAACTCATTGATTTTAACCATGCTAACCTCGCGGCTACCAACTCATACTATACGACTGCCTATTGTGTCTATATAAAGGTACAAGCCCTGTGTGAACCGATGTATATCAGATGTTCATTTAAATATATATAATAAACATCTATAGTGTAACCCATTGGTAGCCGAGAGGTTTCGTCGGTGTGTTGATGTCAGTCACACATAACAGATTTCAAGGAAGGGTTCGATTCCCAGTGAAGGCATATAAAAATTACAAAAATTAAAGGTAAGTTTTTAAATTAATTCCATTAGTGAACAGAAATCAGTAAATTAGCCTATTCAAACTTAATGAAATTAGGCACACAAAGGAAACAATTGAATATAATTTGGTGAGTCAATTTCAGCGGCAGATTTAGGAAGCGTTGATTCTAGAAAAAGAATCCACGGTAAATGAATAGGCTGACGTCACCACAATGGTTTAATATTTGATCAGTGGTGAGTTAAAAAAAATGTCTTACTGAACCGGTCACTTTAGTGTATGATACTGTTGATATGATTACAAAAAATACACATATAAATAATAGAGGTATGCTTTCTTTTACTTATAGATACACTGTAACGTTGTGTTAGGATATGTTTAAGGTGCTGGTTAGGTTTAGGTGAGGCTAAGATTAGGTCTAGGGTGGAGATTTAGACATATGATAGTGAAAGTAACAGTATATTTGACCTCAAGTATTGCTAAAAATCTTGCAGGAGATCAATCATGTTGGTTAAAAACGTCAACATAAACATGCACATGTAAGTCGATTTCAATTCAGGGTATTTGTTCAAGTTATACATATGACCTTGAGTATAACATATAATGTTAATAGTTCACTGTTAACAATAAATATAAACAAAGAAGACATACATGTATATGCTGAAATGAAACTTTAAGACTTCATATTTTATCACTGAAATTACAAGTCAATTAAATGTTCATAAATATGTCATGTTTTATAAACTATGTGTTTTTTTTATGTTTTATTTATTTTATTTCTTTACAATTATGTATTGTTATATGCAATTAAGCATCAAACTGACAAAGGTTTTTTTATTAAAGGAAGTATTTAAATAAATGTTATTATCCATTAATTTCTGCTAGCGTTCGACATTAGTTATATAAAAGATAAACGTGTGAATCAAAAACTGTCATTGTAGCAAAAACAAAATTAATAATCAGAAAGGTGGACATATAAGATCATAACTGTCAGTGAGAAAATACGAGAATACAAGATAAGAGTGAAAATAACACTTTATAACTTTGGTGCGTCCAAAGTACTTTTCTTGATTCACCTTCATCCGGTACGCTCGAATCCAGAAATATAAAACCCAAGAATGTATAAATATCTGAATACGTGAATAGCTATATGACAAAAAGAGTCATAAATAGAATAGCACAAACTTACTGAGGTGAGTTTTGCCTGAGAGGGTTATAACCTTATTTGGAAAGAATAACACTGTCACTCCACCAGAGACCAAATGACGTAGAAGTTATAGCAACTATAGATCATGTAGGCCTTCAACAATGAATAAAACCCATACCGCATAACACGCGATGAAGCTTATCCAACAATCATGTGATCCTATAGCAATATTCATCGAAAGGGTCTCGCAAAAGCCTAAAAAGTGATACCAATAATTCGGAGCAAAAACAAAATTGGTGCAAAAAAGCATTTTATGGTTAAAATTCGGAGACAGTTTTTATAAATTATAATAAGGTGTCAAGGATGATGATGGGTGGCTGTTAACGTCCAGCGGCAAATTAATATGCATATTCAGAACGAGAACATGTTAATATGATATGAATATTAAACCTGCTTTGTACTAGACCCACACGCTGAGCGGGATTTTCAATGAGCTAGTTCACAAGGTAACAGTCAACAGGAAGACACATCACCTTACCCGGACACATTATTCTGACTCCGAGCCGGCCAGTCTATACTCTTACTTCTTATGTTGCAAAACACTTGTCCTACCTCCATGACAAATATGTTGTTGTCCCCGCAGATAAAGCCCCAAACAACATCGTTTTTGTGTGTAAAAATCATTACATAAACTGCTTAATAAATGAATTAGGTATTGACAATTCACTTGGAAACTCAACATATACCTTCACGACACTTACCAAAGAGGAAATCCTGGATAATCATATAGGTCTGTTCTATGTTCTTTTGGAATTTCAACCAAAGATGAAGAACTGGATCTTCCATCACTGTATTGGATACCTAAACTACATAAGTGTCCTTACAAACAACGGTATATTGCTGGGTCTTCCAAGTGCTCCACGAAACCTCCTTCTAAATTATTAACATCTATTTTATCAGCAATCAAAGCCGGGCTCCAAAGTTATTGTGAAACTGCCTATTCTAGAGGTGGCGTGAATCAGATGTGGATACTAAAAAATTCCAAAGATCTTTTAAGAGTACATACAATCTAAGACTCTCTCATCTTGCAATAGTATTAAAACATTTGACTTTTCTACACTTTACACAAGTATTCCCCATTCCAAACTAAAAGACAAATTGAAAGAGTTGGTATTACTTTGTTTCATTAAAAAGAATGGCGAACGTAGATACAAGTATCTTGTCTTGGGGAGGGATAAATCCTACTTTGTAAAGAATCACTCTGATTCAAACAAAACATTCTCTGAAACTGACATTATCAAGATGCTTGATTTCTTGATTGACAACATATTTATTACGTTTGGAGGACGTGTTTTTCAACAGACTATCGGAATTCCAATGGGAACCAATTGTGCCCCTCTTCTTGCCGACTTTTTCTTTATTATTATGAGGCTGACTTCATACAGGAACTTCTGAGGAAGAAAGATAAGAAGTTAGCAATATCCTTTAACTTTACGTTCCGCTATATAGATGATGTTCTCTCACTAGATAGTACAAAATTTGGTGAATATGTTGAACGAATCTATCCCATCGAACTAGAGATAAAGGATACTACAGATACAGTTAAGTCTGCCTCATATCTTGACTTACATCTAGAAATGGACAATGAGGGTCGGTTGAAAACAAAACTTTACGACAAAAGAGATGATTTCAGCTTCCCAATTGTGAACTTTCCATTTCTATGTAGCAACATTCTAGCAGCGCCTGCATACGGAGTATATATCTCCCAATTGATACGATATTCCCGGGCTTGTATTTCCTATCATGATTTCCTTGATAGAGGATTGCTGCTCACAAGGAATCTATATAAGACCAAGAGTTCCAAATGGTGAAGTTGAAATCATCCCTTCGTAAATTTGACGGACACCATCACGAGTTGGTTGACCGTTATGGAATAACCGTTTCACAGATGATATCGGATATGTTCCTTATGTCGTAACTACAATACCCTTCCCTTTTCACGAATGTGACCTACCGAATTAGACTATTTACCGGATTTGTAATAACATAAGTAACACGACGGGTGCCACATGTGGAACAGGATCTGCTTACCCTTCCGGAGCACCTGAGATCACCCCCAGTTTTTGGTGGGGTTCGTGTTGCTTAGTCTTAAGTTTTCAATGTTGTGTCATCTGAACTATTATTTGTCTGTTTGTCTTTTTATTTTTGGCCATGGCGTTGTCAGTTTGTTTTCGATCTATGAGTTTGACTGTCCCTCTGGTATCTTTCGTTCCTCTTTCTTAATGCCGCGTGCTTAGCGGAGACGCAGCAAATACAAATTTTAAAGTCTTTGGTTTTGACCCGACCGGAGTTCGAACCCACGACCTACCACACTCGAGGCAAACACGCTACCACGAGACCACCGAGGCGGTATGTGTCAAGGAAGAGTTTCATATAAGCAAAGTCCAAGATTTGCTGAGAAAATCAAAAAAAATATTCATATAAAAATACAAAAGAGGTACGCAATGGCATATATGGCGAAGATTGCGAGAAAGTTTAATTTAATTTTGATTCAGGGTTCAGGAGAAACGGATTCTCTTTTGAATTATTTCATTTTTTGTCAACTGATGGGGATCTTTATGGATGATTGTCTCATTGCCAATCATACCACATTTACTTATTATTATACAATAGTGAGCTGTAATGGGCGGATATGACATCGTTCTCGTCATGCCAAAACGAACCAAAAAATCATTGGGACGAAAAAATGAAACAGGAGGTACAAACGTAAATAGTGTGATTAAGATTCTGTGAAAGATTAACAACATTCAGTGATGCGGTTCAGTAGCAGAAGAGGATAAACAAAAGTTTGACGGACGGACTGACAAATGAACATCCTATCTCTTTACCGCCCGCTTAAAAGACGACGATATTAAAATCAGTTGAAAATAGCACGATTCATAAGATCCGTACTTAGCACAAAACAAGTTACAAATTAAAGAAAAATATGTATACCAATCTAAGAGTACTCACAATAACTGAATTCTAGTCCAAAGTTCTAACCAATCAGTACATATCAAACGTGTTTAGTGTTTAGACCCCATGGACAGTCTTAAAAAGCATGAGATTGTGCAATCCCAAGATACAAGTATCGACAGGACGTATGACCATCAGTGTAAATAGTTTGACAGCAATACATTTATTATTACAACAAACCATTGAAAAAAAGTTTACATATATTGTATCTTATTCAGGAGCTCTATAAACAACATCACCGCGAAAATGAGGATGTGATCATATTTTTATAGGTACAGCCGAACTTCCAATCAAAATCTTTTGGAATTATATTCATCGTTTCCAGGTGTAAATGGAACATCATGGTGCAAAATAAGGAAATAACCAATAGAGAACAAAAATTGTCTTTTGTAAATGTTTTGACTTTCCAGTGTGAAAAAAGAAATAGCCAAATTAAGAAAAGGACAATAATTACATATGCCAATCACATGCATACTGAGTTGCATTTCGTCGTGTCTGCAAGGCGTACCAAATTATGAGATCGGCATCTCCGGTGAGTTTTTACAATCACTGGGTCGAAACCGCTGCTGTTAAACGTTTCGTCCCCGAGTGCATCACCAACCCAATAGTCAGCTTTAGAGAATCGTATCTACTTAAAAGACGTATACTCCATCAACGGTCAACTTCTATGAAGTAACTGTTTAGAAAATGTTAAATGGCCTCAGTAATCGATGCCCAGATTAGGCATAATAATTTTAGGCTTTTAAAGCTGACCAGTAGTCAGCACTCCTGTGATGATGATGCTATCTTCTGTAAATTATTGAACTACTCAAAACACTAAGGTTTTGACAAACCCTAGGCCAAGATTGCCTTATACGGAAGCGTATTAGCGCCACACGTTTTATTTTTTTATTTTTCTTCCTATGTTTGCGTTATTACGCAATCCTTTGCCTTATAACGCAAACCTTTACGTTATAACGCAAACATTTGCAAAATAACGCAAACCTTTTGCGTTATAACGCAAACCTTTTGCGTTATAACGCAAACCTTTGCCTTATAACGCAAACATTTGCGTTATAACTTATAACGCAAACATTTTGATTTTAATTATTCATTAGTTTTGAATATTTTATATTCAAAACTATATATAATATTAAATTTACATTTTATGTTTATTATATAATTTGAAAGCAGTGTTTTGTAAATAACGGCATTAAATTTCCGTCTGTCATCAAATTTCGGTTGTGATTTAGTTAAGAGAAGAACCATGAACACAAGGCCAAATCATTATAATAAATATGCATAGAAATAAAGGAATACTTAAAGTGCAATTATACACAAATTAATAAATGGTTTATGCATCAGAAGATTATATAAATTTAACAAGTAAATAGATATGGTATAGGCAAATTTTAATTGAAAGGCCAAGATTTTGAAAATTTTGAATACTGACGGAAAGTGGTAAACTAGATAAGAGCAAAAATAATGTCATACAATTGTGAAACTATAAGTCAAATAGACAAAATGATCTTTCTGCTTTAAAATTTATTATTCAGAAAAAAAACATTCTTTTTAAATTTTGATGTAAGAAATCGTTTGTTGAAATCACAGAATATGATAAAGATTCTTTTAAAAAAGTCACTGAATTTTAATTTCAATCTAGTGAGGTAGCTATTTAAGATGCTTGGGTAGCAATTTGAATGTAGAGA